GTGTGTGTGTGTGTGTGTGTGTGTGTGTGTGTGTGTGTGTGTGTGTGTGTGTGTGTGTGTGTGTGTGTGTGTGTGTGTGTGTGTGGAAACATGTCTTCTATCAATGCTCTGACAAACAGATCCTGGACCACCTGTCCATGATAGAGAATCGGAATGAGTCGGAGTTGGAGGCCCACCTGAGACGGGTGGTCAAACACTCTGGAAACCTGTCTGGACAGAAGAGTGACCGAGGCAACGAGAAGAGTGGTCTGCGCACGGTGAGCATCACAAACCCAACATATCCTGACAAGGCCATGCTTTCTGGCTCTTCAGATGTTGTTTATGGGATGACTGTATCTAACAGAATGTACATTTGTCTTTTTCCAGGAGGATCGGATGTCAAAGGGTAATGTCAGTGACATTCTGTCGGAAATCTTCAAGAAGATCGGCTCCAAGGAGAACACTAAAGAGGTCAGCTCAGCTCCTTTCTAAAAAAATCACTCTTGATGGAATGCTTTTTTTTACAGTTTTAACTGTAAAATAACCTATACAGACATAAAACCAAAGTTATATTATGTCCCAGTGGTTGTAAAACATGCTGTTATCTGGTTCTCAGGGTTTGACGGAGTTGTACGAATACAAACAAAATTACTCTGATGCAGACCTGGAGCCCTTCCTCAAAAACACGTCGCAGTTCTTCCAGAGCTATGTGGAGCGAGGCCTGCGCATGATCGAGTCTGAGAGAGAGGGAAAAGCTCGCATCCAGACCTCCACAGGTGCAGTGGAAGCTGTCTGTGTGCTCTGCTCACAATGAACTCAGCTATGTATAGTAACATGTGTGTATCTTTGTGTCTGCAGTGATCCCTCAGCATGGCGTGGACTTCAGTGTGAGCAGCAACTGTGAAGAGCTGAAACCAGCTGTCTACTACGAGAGACTCAAGATCCTCCGACAGAGACAAGGCCTGGAAAACACCTCCAGGGTGAGACACACACACACACACGGCTGTCACACAGCCGTGTTGCTTTGATTTAAAGGTACAGTGGAGGAAATAATTATTTGATCCCTTGCAGATTTTGTAAGTTGCCCACTTACAAATAAATGAACAGTCTATAATTGTAATGGTAGGTTTATTTGAACAGTGAGAATAAGAATATCAAAAAGAAAGTCCAGAAATTGACATTATATGAAAGATAAAAATTGATTTGCATTTAACTGTGGGAAGTAAGTATTTGATCCCCTTGCAAAACATGTCTTAAACTTGGTGGAGAAACCCTTGTTGGACAGACAGAGGTCAGACGCTTCTTGTAGTTGGTCACCAGGTTTGTGCACATCTCAGGAAGGTTGTTGGTCCACTCCTCTCTGAAGATCCTCTCCAAATCCTAAAGGTTTTGAGTCTGATGCTTGGCATCTCGAAGCTTCAGCTCCCTCCACAGATTTTCCATGGTATTAAGGTCCGTAGACTGGCTAGGCCCCTCCATCACCTAAATGTGCTTCCTTAGCCACTCCTGTGTTGCCTTGGCCGTATGTTCAGGGTCATTGTCCTGCTGGAAGACCCATCCATGAACCATTTTCAGTGTCCTGGCTGAGGGAAGGATGTAATCGGCCAAGATTTTCACGGTACATGGCCCCGTACATCCTCTCCTCGATGCAGTAAGTCGTCCTGTCCCTTTAGTAGAGAAACACCTCCAAAGCATAATGTTTCCACCTCCATGTTTGACGGTGGGGATGGTGTTCTGGAGGTTATAGTCAGCATCTCTCTTCCTCCAAACACGGCGTGTCAAGATGATGCCAAAAATCGCAATTTTGGTCTCATCTGACCACATCATCTTTCTCAAGCCTTCTCTGAATCATTCAGATGTTCATTGGCAAACTTCAGCCGGGTCGTTCATGTTCCTTCTTGAGCAGGGGGCTTTGCAGAGCTGCAGGATTTGATCCATTATGGTGTAGTGTGTTCCCAATAGTTTTCTTGGTGACTGTGGTCCCGGCTGCCTTCAGATCATTAACAAGTTCCTCCCGTGTTGTT